GATTCGAGAGATTTGGAGCGCCAGATATTTTTCGAATGGAACCTCGGTTTTTGGACGGCTTGTAGCGAGATCGTAAAGCATTGAGATTTCCGTGCGAAAAAAAAAAAAGCCTCATGTGGCTCGTTTTTCGAAAATTGCGTACAACTGTTTTCGGGTGATCCGATTTCCGTCCGATTCTCGGGCCGTTTTTAAGGTGAAAGTCTTAAAAACGGACCATTGAGCTACAAATCGGAGCAAATGGCCATAAAACGCGATTGAGCGGCACGCGCCGCTCGATCGCAAACTCAAGGAAGGCCCTGGTCCTCGCGGTCGTCCTAGGAATTTACAATTTAAAATTTGTAAATTAAAGCGAAAAAGAAAAGAAATAAACATTTGTCTCTCTACTGGTACCATCAGACGGTAGAAGAAGTTTAAACCAATTAAAAGAAAGGAATAGGGCCCAAATATGGCCAACAAGTTATCATTTTATAAAGAAGTGATAATATTATAAAGAAGTGATAATTTTATAAAGAAGCCAATTTGAAAAAATAACAGGGGAAACAGCGAAACCCCAGGTAGGAAACAGGCTCTAAGAAAGATCAACGGACATTTATTTTATATTTTTAATTTATATATATATAATGATTTCATTAAAAAGTTCCCCGGGTTTGCTGTTTGGTCGTGTTGGGGATGACGCCGAGATGAGCCAACTGGGACATCAGTTGAATTGATACAACGGCGCAGCATTTGTCCCTCAGTCAGTTTATATGAACAAGTTATACAGGTGATTCAAGGAGAGGCCAGGCTCTTTAAATCGACCACAAAATTTGGTTTTTAAAGGGAAGCTCCACTCAAAAAGTCGACCCTATCGAAATGACTGATATCGCTTTAGGGGGTCAGAATACTGTCATATCCAAAATATCACGTCAAACCGACGCCGCATTACCGATTAAAACCAGTATTAAAAATGGTCTCTCGGCTCGGTTAGCGGCCCGAAAGCTGGTGAGCAACGCTGGCACCGGGTGAGCTAGTGAAGCAGCACTGGGCAATGACGTAGGTTTAGTCCTACGTTCTCGTACGGACGCCGCAGACGCTTCGTTTCCCGTAGCAATCTGCGATCCTACTGACGGCAAGAGGTGCTTACCACGTTATCCTATGTTCTCCTATTGTTATTAGCGTCCAGGCTGTTCATTTAACTCCAGCATTGCTTCCGCGACAGCGCGGAAGAGAGCGAAGCGGTGCTGCTCGCTCACGCGCGTGTCGTGGAACCGAAGAGACTCGCCGGACTCGCGTTGGGCAACGTCGAGCACGACTTGTAGTGCTGTGGGTTGCACCAACAATCCGGCGCGCATCCCGGAGCTATGGTTCTACCAGTTCCCAAGAGTCCGGAAGAGGCACAAGGTGTGGGTCCCCGTACGAAAATGTCAGATACAGGCCGGAATGAAAAATGCCGGTTCCGCCTAGACCCAAAATTGGGTCACCAGTTTGTATCCAGCCTGGAACCGCGCATTTCCAGCCCCAATTTTAGACCCAGGCAGTGCACCGCCGGAATTCCCGCTGCGCTCACCACTGGACTCTACAAAAGAATTTCATGTTATGCGCTTAGCCGTTACAACCGAGAGATCGTCGCGATTTCAGACCCAGGCGGACTGGGTCTGAAATCGCGACGATCTCTCGCTTGTAACGACTAAGGGCATCGCGCGAAATACTTTTGTAGATTCCGGTGGTGAGCGCAGCGGTAATTCCGGCGGCGCACACGGTCGTCCAGGTGTCGTCACCAAACACGGTGCACGGAACACACACACAGCACGCACAAGCACAGTATCCAGTGTTGAGTGCATCGGGAAGTTCCGGCGGGCAAGCGGTGCCCGAGTTGTCCAAGTATTGTCACCAAGCGCACCAGCGCATCCAGATGCCGAGCCAAACTGCAATGGGTCGGCAGCTTCACACTATATAAAGATTCAAAGCCGAGGTCAGTGGGTATCCATCCAGGGCAACGATAGGCGCGTCATCAATATCCGTGCGTTCGCAGCGCGAACGTCGCCGCCGGGCGAGCGCCGGCCAGCAGTCCGACGGGAGCGGAGAAGAACCTAAACTCTCGAAGCGCTGCAGCCGACTGCAACAGACAATGCAAGGCGCGCGTCGTCACCAGACACGGTGCACGGAACACACACATGGCACGCAAAAGCACAGTATCCAGTGTTGAGTGCATCGGGAAGTTCCGGCGGGCAAACGGTGCCCGAGTTCAGCGCATCCAGATGCCGAGCCAAACTGCAATGGGTCGGCAGCTTCACACTATATAAAGATTCAAAGCCGAGGTCAGTGGGTATCCCTCCAGGGCAACGATAGGCGCGTCAGTATCCGTGCGTTCGCAGCGCGAACGTCGCCGCCGGGCGAGCGCCGGCCGGCAGTCCGACGGGAGCGGAGAAGAACCTAAACTCTCGAAGCGCTGCAGCCGACTGCAACAGACAATGCAAGGCGCGCGTCGTCACCAAACACGGTGCAGGGAACACACACACGGCACGCAAAAGCACAGTATCCAGTGTTGAGTGCATCGGGAAGTTCCGGTGGGAAAGCGATATCCGAGTTGTCCAAGTATTGTCACCAAGAGCACCAGAGCCAAGCGCATCCAGATGCCAAGCCTAGGTGCAATGGGTCAGCAGCCTCACACTATATAAGGATTCAAAGCCGAGGTCAGTGGGTATCCATCCAGGGAACGATGGGAGCTTCAGTATCCGTGCGCCCGCAGCGCGAACGTCGCCGCCGGGCGAACGCCGGCCGACAGTCCGAAGAGAGCGAAGAAGAAATTAAACTGACTAAACTCTCGATCGGAGAGCTGCCTCCGACTGCAACAGACAATAGACAAAGCCAGGCGCACGCGCGGAGAACGCTTGCTCGCAGCGCCTGCGTAGCGGATGCGCCTGTCCCTCTAACACGTGACCTGCGAGAAACCGCGAAAATTCCCCGCCGGCCCGGCCAACACCAGCCGACCTTTCCCTCCCCTCCTCCAGTCACGCATATCACTTTTCACCTAGCTGAGATGTGATCCCGTGATAAAGGTGAAGAGGTCGTTCTTTGAATATCGAATGTACCATACAATTATGCTATATTTTTGTTGTGGTCGTTATTTATGAAGGAAAGAAACGTATGATGGTACTAAGCGTTCTGATTTTTTCCCTTTAACAACCAGCATAAATTTAACTTTTGTTTTCATCATGGCAGGATTTTAATCAACTGCTTATTCGGCAAGATTTCATTTTTGGTTACCTCCCCTGATTGTGGTTTTGGAAGAAGTGGTTTTCATAATTAAACTTGAGGAAGAAAACTAGAAAGGACAGACAAACACAAGCTTCCAACTGGCAATATAGTTATAGTTTTTCCCCTCCTTTCTTTTTTTTTTTTTTTGAAGAACGTGTTGAAATTTGTTGTACATGCCAAACCAACTGTTCCCAGTGATTGTTGGTGCACATCTGGTTGTACCTTGCAAGGTTTTAGAGTTGAAGCTAATGTGGAATCCCGGAGCTTTGGAACCAGTTCCTAGCTCCCCTGACCATAAATGTGTTGCCTTCTTTGAATGTGGCTTTGCGCCACTTCCTTGCGCGACTAACCTAATAGGAAGCCCGAAGTTCCAAACTAGCAGTCGTCCTAGACCCGTATGACGACCTCACCTGTCACAGCACGTGAAAAGCAAGCGGCGTCCGTCGGTGTTGTGACCGAAAGATGGCCATAAAAGTACCTCATCAAGTGTCATCAATGTGATGTCATCAAGCGTCATTATACGTAAACAGCGTGATATTACCGCCGGAGCGCCGTGTGCACAATGCGCGCGTTGGACTTCATCTGTGCTTGTTGTGTGCTTCGTGCGATGGTCTTTGAGACGACCACGTCTACATCGACGGCCTCGACGTCGCCAGCAGCGTCTACATCTACGGCGGCTTACACAGGCGAACGTAGCCGCCCACGCAAATATGCGACAGCCTCCTTAAGTGTCCTCCTCTAGGCGTCGTCCTCGACGTCGTCCTAAAGGTCATCATAGACACCGTACTTGGCGTCGATCTCTAGGAAGTCGTCCTCGACGTCGTCCTAAAGGTCATCATACACACCGTACTTGGCGTCGATCTCTAGGAAGCCGTCCTCGACGTCGTCCTAAAGATGATCATAGACACCGTACTTGGCGTCGATCTCTAGGAAGTCGTCCTCGACCTCGTCCTTTACGTCGTCGTAAACCTTAATACGTGTAGAAACATTACTTGTAAACATTTCTCTCGCAGGTCCTATATGCTTTCGGCTTCCTACACATTAATAGTCTTAAAGGCGCACTAAACACGTTTCTGAGATCGTCTGTTCTTGGTGAGAACCTATCGTACGGGCTCCAAGCATTCTAGAAATCCAAAAATTATGCTCGTGCGGCGTCTATTTCCGTATAAAATGTGATTGAAGTTCGTGACACGCCCCTTTCTGAGCGGAAAATTCCGGAGCACAGAATCCAGCGGACGCGCCGACGGCGTGACGACGGGCGCGCGAATTCTGTGCTCCGGATTTTTCCGCTCATTTTTTAATCACATTTTTAATAGGAAAATAGACGCCGCACAAGCATAGTTCTTGAATTTCTAGAATGCTTGGAGCCCGTACGATAACTTCTCACCAAGGAAAGACCGTCTCATTAAGTGTACTCGTGTAATGTGTTCGAGTCATGCGTTCCGACCTGAAGTCAGCGCTGTGTTTGTCCTTCTATGCGTTCTCTTATTTTGTCCTTGTTTCTAACGTGCTGTTTCTGCTAATATGCAAACTGCATGCTTTCTGGAAGCCGCAAAAGTGGCGCGGTTTACGAATACACATCCGGACACGCAACCCGCCATCCGGTTTGGACCGGCCTTTATTCTTTACTCGGCTTAAAATAAATTTTTTTACGATGCCCTTTCCCGTTTGCTACAAGTAATCAAATCGCTATACCGTAAGCAAAAAACAAACAAAAAGTGACAAGTTGCAAGTAACGTGTTGTATGTTGAAACATCACTCACCCCGTTGTGGCGAACGTAGCCCAGGTGCGAATGAGAAACCTGCTAAGGTTCTTCTCGCTTTCTGACGTCAACTCCGGTGCTGATATCAGAGGCAGTCCGAAGATAAAGTCCAGGTCTTGGAATGCATGGTCTGGGGTATTCTTTCCCTGCTTGGCCTGGAATCAGGTCGATTAAAGGTATTAAGAAACAATTTCTTTTAATGCAGAATTTCTTATAACTTATAAGGCTGCTTACAATTAGATGATTGTGCCACCAGAAAAAAAAAAATAAACGTCACGAAATACCGTTACACGGCCGCTAATTTTACCGAACTTACGTTCCCCTATAGTGAATAAATAATCTAAGTGTTTTTAATTATGATTATTTTTTTTTTTACTTGGAGATAAATATATGCATTATTCTGCTGCATACACCGTGTCTCCCGAATATATTCGTTTGATTTAAGTGAATTTTATTTTTAGTTTGTCTAAACCGTGGTCGGAGGAGCCTCTCCTCGTCCATAAAGCATACCTACAGACTTCAATGCTCCGTTTACTCAGGCTGGTGTTTTAACGAAACAAAAAGCTGTTCAAGACGTTCCCCGTTCATTTTGCGACTCTAACACACAGTGTTTTATATATAGTTAGTTCCCAGTTACTCCCTATAACACGTTCTTGTAACGGGAAAGTGTCAAATGAGCGCTCCTTCAGCGTTCGGCTCGAATCAGTTTCCTGGCACAGAGTGGATACGAATCCCAGCCGAACGCTACACCTTGTCTAATCTTAACTCTGTGCGTATCCAAAGGTCACACAACGTCACGAGGCGTCCCTCGCGCTTGATTGGTCCCATGAGCTTGTAGCTCTGGTAGTGCTCAGACCTAATCTGAAACTGAGGATATACACTTTGTATTACTACTGACTTCGCCGCGATAGTGCAGGAAAGAGGTAAATTCTGTCCCTGGACATATATGTAAGAATAAGTTCAGGAGGGGGCGACTGAGCTATTTATCTCTTGATAACGTGTCTGGAAGAATCTGCGCACAAGGGGGTCGCTAAACCTCGAAAGTCAGAAAATAGCGGAATGAACAAGTATTGTCCTGACGGGATATTCCAATGCGAGAAAGAAGGGTCGCCGTTCTCCCGATTATCACCTTCCTTTTGAAGAAAAAAGAAAACATTTCAGATATCGTTCTTTTTCTTCAAAGGTTATCACTGCAGATGTTTCAACCTTTAGTTTTCATTATTGCGAATACTAGGTCGAAAGCGCTGCTATGGCTGGGATTTATCGTCTGCATTTTTCCTTACGAGGACGGGGGGTGAAGCCCTACGCCGAATGGATCGATAGGTCACTAAAGATGGATGGGGCTGGCTCTTCTGAATTGGGTTGCGGCTTAAACCACCTATATCCAATGTCTAAGCGGGGCCGTAAAATACATGCGTATACGTGCTCACCGGATTTCGGAAGAGGAAGGCGTACACATCGGCGTGGCTTCTATACAGATATTCTCCGAACTTAATGGTGGGACAAAGAAGCAGCAGGTCCTCGAGCAGCGTGGCAGCTACCATGTCGTCGATGAGACCCTGGGCCTTGTAGTGCCGCTGTATCTCCTCGAGAGCTGGCGTTCTGAGCGGGCCGTTCAGCAGCTGATGGACCACGTCCTGCGAGAATGTCGAGCCTATCTTGGAATCACCGGCAACTTTACTTTTGCACGGCAACTGCAGTTATGGGCTCTTTTCCCTACTTGATGTTTCTATAAAGCGTCCGTCAATATCGTCTCGCGACACCGTGATGTCTTAGAGCGATGCCAAGTGTCACGTCCCTTAAGATTTCTAGGCTTTTTGCCTCTTTCATAAAGCGTATTACTCTCAATTTCAAATGCGTTATTAAATACGTTAGAATTTACTGCCCTGCTCCATGCAGCCGACTTTGCTTTAGACTGGACCGGATGGGTTTCGTGAGGCAGCGGGGCCGTTCCCGCCGTGCTTTTTCACTCCGTTCCCTCGATCGTTACGTCCACTTTCCGTCTTACGTAAGAGGGAAAGAGGCTTCTCGCACGCTTCCAATGACGGGCCGCTATTGACGCACGCGAAGGTCTATAGGATTGCGCCGGAGTGTAGGCATGTGGTTTCGTTTCCCCAGTATGCACAACGTACGCGACAACGGAAAACCGAGACGCAACGACGACGCCGTTTGCGCGAAACCGCCGTCACCCGGGAGAACAGACTTGCTGTCCGAAGACAACTAACCCCTGCGCTAAATGCTAACGCATAATTTCGTCGAGAATCAGCATAGCGACAGCAGCGATTTCGGCACCATTTTTCATACAGTTTCTTCTTAGCCCACCTACCTATATGTTTCTTCGAAACCGGACCACTCATGCAAGATTGCCCGAACCAAGACCAAATCCACAGCCTACCAGCATTCACTTCTACGCGAATCTCGCGAACTGGATAGACCTTCCCGATAACATCGTAACCATCATCGATAATACCAAGTTTCGCCTAGCAGCAACCAACCATCCACCCTGGAATGCCCCTAATATTTGTATAATTGGGAAATTATAGGTGTTAGTAAACAAATAAATGAATTCATAATAAGGTAAAGATTAGTAATAGACCGAATCTGCTGCACTTCAGATCCGGCAAAGTTCGGCACAAACCGAACTTTTGAAGAATTCGGCAAAGATACAACAGAAATTTGAAAAACGTCTGCGACGCGCGAGAACTCGGCAGGACCATGAATTGCAAATGGACGCCATGCGGTCGTGCGGTTACCATCCTACAGTGTAGTATCGTAATACTATGGTACCTAAACGCGTCTCAGACTGGTGTGTTTACCGCCTGCAAAAATGTGGTCCCTCGATTTCCGCCTGATGACGTCATAGAAATGTGATGCTGTCGCCAGTCGCGATCCTGACGGCGTCTCATTAGCTTTGGTGTATGTGGCCAACGCCTGCTCTGCTGTAGGTCGCTCTCCAGTGTGGCAGTCCACGGAAGCTTCGGCAGTCAGAAGTTGGAACTCCGCGACACTCGCGTTCGGTTGTGCTGCTCGCACCTCCTCGTTAACTTTCTACGACCAACCGCCAGGATCGCGATTCGTGACATGCAACAGCATGACACTTCGGCTTCCGTGTTAGCATTTTCTGCCATTTCGGGACCCCTTTTGATGTATGGGCAGCATAGGGCGCTAAACATACCAGTCGACGACGCGCTCCAGGCACCGTAGTAATACTATACCAGCGGTTACGGCAAGGTGCGGAGTGGGCGACATTGAAACTGTGTGTTTGTCAGCCTTTGTGAATATCATTCTTTTCAGTATTCTCCTCCTCAAGCGTCTTATGTGCGTATAAAAGCGAAGCAGCCTAACGTTGAGGCATTATGCAAGCTGAACGTTACGGACCGAGCAGGTGCCCGGAGCCAGAAGGTGCCCAAATCGAAGCAGACACGACCAGACGATGCGTCTCAATGTCGACCGTAGCGCCGCTGCTGCATCCAGGCCAGTTGCTCCCTGCCTCGCACTTCGATACTGCCACCTACCCTTCTAGCAGAGAACTGGAAGCTACGATTGCGCCAGATGTCTATTTCTGTTCTACGTGATGTTTGCGATTCCAAGAATCATACGGCAAGAAATAGTCACATGATTCTTGGAACTCTGCCTCCACGCAGTTTATACCGTGCCCTGCAAGACCAACTTAATTTTTAAGGTCGCCCTCCCAGCACTTGCCAAGCGACTGTTGAATGAGAACAAGAGACAAAGAACGCATATGTTTTCTCTTGCAGTCATCAGCCTCCGTTCTACAGGAGTAGCTAGTGTCGAAGGGGAGAAAGCGAAAACCTGGAGCGTATGACAAAACCTTCGTTTCATGTTTAACAATGATCACTGTGAACATCTCCACGTTGTCAACTTCACAAATTTCCTATTGTTACTGCAGCATAATAGTTTGTCTAAACAGAGCAAGACAATGACATTTCTACAATGATGATAATCATAAACACACATCACTGGCATGCCCCGCTTGTGGTACAAAACAGAAACAAGAAAACTGAGCGCATGCGGTTCATTTGAAAATCTCATTTTAGTGTCAAACGGATGCTGACACTCAAAAGGTTTCAGGAGAGCTTGGTGTTTTTTTTTAGAAATATGGAGCGGTTGACATACAGGGAAGAAGAATTACTGTGCCTTTTGTTCCTATACTTCATGGCAACATTACTCGCGGTTGGAAGTCTGAACAAGCTCAGACTAACACTGAACTGCTTTTGTTTTTGGCACTGCTTCAATTTGTAAATAAGATCAAATTTGTTTGATTTACTCGTTCAGCTTACGCAAGGAAGACCGAAAAGCTTAAAAAAGAAAAGCTTTTTATTTTTGGCATGTATTACTCGTTGGCGCTTGGGCCCATGTTTTTCTGGCGGTAGTGTCATGTTTACATAAGCGAGCCTAAAAACATCTCGGTCCGGGCACAGGGCCTTGAACTGCGGGTGGGTTGTTACACAACCCGAGACCGGCTGACTGCGTACGGCCGCCGGGTATTCTCGGCAGCAGATGCGCTCGACGACTGTCTCCATCGGCGTACAACAACAAGATTGCTACCAGTGTAAAAAAAAAAATAAAAGAAGAGGCATCAACTAGGCACGCTAGCGGTATAATGAAGGGCGTATCACCTACCAAGCCGTGTTTCCTAGCCGCTGGATTCTCTCGTTGGGTGCGTGTGTTGCCTCGGGTGGCCTGGCTCCTTCGCGGTGCGGTTGGTGCGGCCCACTGTGTTGACTATTTTCTGAGCTCGCTGGACTCAAATTTACGACGGCGTGCGATGGTGTCGCATTATAAGGGATGGACCCAATGCCGGCTGTTCGTCGAAGCATCTCTTCCTCGAGAGCCGTCAGGTTAGCGAGAGTTATGGCTCGATGAAGAAATTGCTACGATGACGATCGACTTTGTTTGGGCGTCCGAAGTCCGGACGTCCGAGTGTGCGGGCTGTCCGTGCCACCAGCCGCGCGCGTTCGATATATCACTTCGCGGGTCCACCGGTCGGGGACGCGAGGATCTTCCGCTTGCTACTGGCTGACAGTGGTCCTGGTTTCGGGAAAAGCTCGTCCCATCGCCTGCGATGACCTCGGCGTATTCCATTTTTTTAATGGTGAAGACAATGGGAATTTGAAAATTTCTAGGATGTGTAGAGCCCGCAGAGTGAGTTATCACCATAATTAGTCGATCTCAGAAATCTCCTCAGGTTCCCGTTAAGAGTCAAGTCACACTACAAACATCTTGAGGGATCATGTGCATTTGCTGCTATGCATTGTTGTAATATTCAGCAAAAATCTCTTCAAGCGTATCCACAGAGTTTAACTGCACCATTTTGAATTAGCACAATGTCACTGCAGCAATCCCTCAAAAGTATGATTCGCCATATAGATACGAAGTTCCTCGTTAAAGAATATTTTCGAAGCCGTAACCAAATTTCGTACCATGTTGTTGATCGGCGCAAACGAGCTATTCTGAAAGGTCGCTGATCCTATCTTCTTGCAGAGTGTAGACCTATTGATAGCTGTTGTCAATATTCGTAGGTTGTTTACTGGTGCTCGCTTGTCAATATTCGTAGGTTGTTTACTGGTGCTCGCAGCGACAATTTTTTTTCATCGTACTCTATTGGGATTTGTAAACGGAGTATGCGTACAGCTCTTATCTGAAAGTACGTGACGACGCGACACTCTATCATGATGTGTTTAGTTTTTCTACCGACGACCAGTAGGTCCAGGAGTCAGATTTTGAAAGGCCCCAACGACTCAAGACTCGTCTTGTATTCAAGATATTGATTTCAACCCGCCATTGAAAGCCACTGTCAGGTTCGGGTAACCAGGGTGAGGGGGGGGGGGGGGGGGGCGAGCTTCGTTATCTTCGCTGGACTCTTGAAGACAATATCGTACCGAGTCCTGCCTGCAGCTCCGAAATACGGGCTACTAGGAGCGAAAACACGTCATCCACTCCCAGCACCCCTAGCACGTAGCGGAAATGAGCGACAAAAGCAGCGTAGTGTCGGCTAGGAGTCCTCTCTTATGACTGCGTTAAAATTGGTGCACATAAAAAGGTGACGACCGAGTGGTCTGAGCCAGTAGAGCGCACAAACCCCTGCAGGCTGTTCCTGGTTGTCCAAGACACTGAGCATTGTACGAAGAGCAAGGTTCCGAGCAATAAGAGTAAAGTTGGGGATGTTCCATCCACAACGTTCCACGAATTGGTGCAGCACCACCCGTTGGATGCATGTCCCAATATAGACGAAAAATTACGCTATGCAATGTTCTCACTTGTGGCGTTGGCAGCAAGACCTGTGCAACATGCCCCACTTTAGCACATATAAGAGTCCTGATCAGACGCGCTTTCTTGGGGAACGACAAAGCGAAGGATGCTGCAGACTGCACCCTGTCCTGCACCATGCTAGTCACGAAGTCCCAGTTTCGTGAGACTATACTATAAAAGGCAAAAAAGACACCGAGAATCTTCAGCTGCAAGACACTGACGATTCCCAGGAAGTGCTTAGGCTTGAAGGAGCCAAGGAGAAGCACTTTTGACTATGTAGCTTAAGCTGCGCACCGGATACGGTTGAGTACTTTTGAAACAAGCGAAGTACTATTAAAATTGACTCGTCGTCACTAAGGAAAATATTTACGCCATCTGCATATGCTGACACGCTGAGAAAGCCGCTCCCTGTGACAGGGAGGCTACGGAGACGTGGTCTATTTACTGCCGCGCGTAGGAATGGGTCGATAGTGATCGTGAAAGGCAAAAGCGAAAGGGGGCATCCCTGACGAACACTTCGTCGGATAGGAGAGGCCGAGCCGATACCGCCGCAGTAGAAAATGCGAGCTTCACTGGAGGAATAAGTCTGTTACAGTAGCTGCAAAATTGACAGGAAAACCGTACGCATGAAGAATGTCAAACAAAGACTGGTGGTCGACTTAATCAAAGGCTTTTTGTTAGTCCACAGACAGTACGCAACCAGGAGCCTGGCGGGACCCAGTGTAAGAAACGAGGCCGCGAATGCTTGAAAGTGCCGAGTACGTGCCTCGTTCCGCCACGCAGCACATTTGCGATGGATGGACGACTGTGTCAAAGATTGAGCGTGCTCGTTGGGAGAGAAGTCACATCACTAGTTTGTAGTTTGTAGCAGGGTTGTAGGCGTTACCGAACAAAAGTAGCTAAATGCTTTACTCGTTACTTGAAAATAAGAGGAACGAGTTACCGACCTACATTAAAAGGGGGGGGGGGGGGGGGCGGGGCTGCAACGATTTTCGGACTTTGGTCAAAATTTGTGGACGTTGCCCTCTGACCTTTCTGAAGCAAAGAACACAAAACCGATTTCGCCTGCGTGTCCTAGTTGTTGCGTAAAAGAAAGATAAACATTGACATTTCGGGCACCCCTCAACTCACACCCAGTCTTTAGGGTCACACCTGGACCCCCTCCTAGTGATGTTATTCGGAGTGCCGTGTAGGTTCCCGTGTGCTCTCACGGAAGGACGCTTCCTCTCCCTCTCTCTGCTGACATTAGCGGGTGGTATGCTGCAGGTTGCCGCCGAGCGAGGTCACGTAATCTTCTCGCCGTAGTTCCTTTGGCTGCCACTTCCGGCTGTAGTTGGGGGAAAAAGCTCGACTTTTGCCTTGCGATTATGCAGCGGAATCGCGAAATTTTTAATGAAGGAGGTGTTTTCGCTGTCCCCCGGGACACGGTAAACAACGTAAAAATGACGAGATGCAAATTCTTTCAATCATAAAATTGTTGCACCGCCCCTTTAAATTTAGCGGAAGAAGTTTCCCGGGTTGGGTGGCGTCACGTTTGACGTCACGAGCGTAAATTTTTCAGCTAAATTTAGTGGGAAATTTTCCCACTAAATTTCCCACTAAATTAAGCAGAAAACTTTCCCGCTTAATTTAGCGGAAACAATTTTGCCCTCGTGACTTCACACGTGACGTCGCGCGTGACGTCCTTGTAGAAAACGCCCCATAATGCAACAAGAGGTTACGCCGACGGCGATGGCGACGCCGCTCAAGCCGAAAACCAGGCGCCCAAGCGCTGCGCTCGAAAACTTTAAAAAATCTCGAGCTCACTGGACGCCGCTGTAATGCCTTTGCAGGTCCCTGAAGATGATTGGTTAAAACCGTGCTCGTGAGGCTTGAATTCTCTCTTCTTCCACCAGCAATTCTGCTCGTCCCATTTCCTCTTCTTGCTTGGACTCCTTGACGGCAGGAGTTCTCCTTCGCTGTCGTCGCTCGACAAGTCACTTAGCTGAGCTGCTTCATTATTATCACTTTCATTTGAGTCAGAATTCATCAACAGTGCGCGAATTTCTTCGTCCCTCAAAGCGCGAACGCACGTGGCACTCTGACTCGCCCGTGGCTCATGGCTGGGAGGCTGCGCTGCCGAGACGAAGACGAAGCAACGAGGATGTATAGAGTGCCTTCATACACACGCGCGCTTTTGCTTGAGTGGTGACATCTCAGCCAGTTTTCCGCCCGGTAGTTTTTTTATGCATTTTGAAGTGCGCGCAGTCCGGTGTCACTCAGCTCGAGCGCGTAGCTTTGGCTAATGCATAGACGCCATCTTACCGCCCAAGTCACGCACCGAGGGCACGAGAGCGCCACGCGCTGGCACATTCAGGGCAACAATGGATGTCTTCACCCTGAGACAGACAGACATGCAGGCACCCTAAGGATGTAGAAACACGCGCTCCATCTGTTGTCTAATATATACCCTACACATTTAACGTCTTTATAGATGGCGGGACACGACCGCATTATTTTTTTTTACACGAGACGAGATTTCTCGACAGTGGCAAGCAACACGAGTATTCTCGGGAGTAGCAGGGGGTGTGAGTGGGTGGTCTCCCGAGTTATCTTGGAAGTGGCAGTTAAAATGTTTAAGGCGTACCTCGGTAATATAATAGTTTTTGGCACTGGGTATGCAATCAACTTATCAATAATACCCATCTCAACGGGTCTTTTACAATTATAATGTTCTTCTTGATTATTTCAAAACAGGAAAATTATTTTTCAAAGCCTCCCATTACCGACACCGCATGTAATGGTGGTACGAAGATGTAATATTGTTTCGCCGGTGTGCAGATAGCAAACGTTCGGTATATAAGAGACATCTCAATAAAGCTACCCGCCACCAGCGAATTTAGAACTGGCTCACCAAGAATGGAAAGTTCAAGGAAAAATTGCTCATTTCATGAGCCAAAATGTCGACCATACCGGCAGCTTGGCGCTACTTTCCCACGATACAGTTGCTTTAGGTTGGACGTCCCCTATTTTACAGCGAAGCTGCATACGACTCGTTAGTCGGGTACTTTCGTGTCCGTCGACAGAATAGTCGACAGAAAACCATCGCGCGCTCCTTATCATCGTTCGCGCGCCTTATCATCTATCATGAGGTTTTGACATTTTTTTTTCAATCGAAAATAAGAAAATCATAAAACAAGTGTCAAAACAACATGATAGATGATAAGTCGCGCGCGAACAATGCGAAGCACGTAGCACTTCCCGCATGCGTTTTCTGGTAAAGATTGCGGTTGCACAAGCTGCCGCAGCAACGGCAGCGTACGAAGTCTTTCATGTAGACCATTTTGCCGTTTACAAACATGAACTTCCGCTTGCGTCCCAAGCGACTTCCAATCGCTCCGTCTATGCAAGCCTGTCGAGCTTAATTATGTCACCAGTGCTCGAAAGCATAATTGCTACACGGACAACAATATTGGAGATTTAACGAGCGCATTCGGCTGTACAATTTACCGTCTTATAGGAGGCAAGTTGGTTTGCAATAATATTCGACGACCTCCCGCTTCTTCGTTCTTTTGGCGTTCACCTGAAGAATGGGTAGTTAAACGTTTTATCGACATTTTAGACAGCGGTGTCAAGGTGGGCTTCGTTCATTCTTTTTATGAACCGAGAGTTCGTTGGGACGTCATGGACTGGACACCGCCTGATGGCGTTTGCAAAGTAAAGGGTCTATGCAAAAAAAGGTTTAGTACAGTGCATTTACTTTTCTTTCGTCAATCATTTCGTATAGTATAGTTAGGGTTGTTCGTTTTCGGGTGTTGTATTTTTTTTTTAAATTGGGGGGGGGGGGGGGGGGGGGGTAAAATGGGGTGCTATTTTTCAAGCTGATCATCGGGGAGAGATCGGGTTTTTTTCTGGTTAAATTTACAAATGTACGCAATAATGCGCTCGTTTTCTTTTTTTTTTTTTATTAGAGCGTATCACGGGGTTCTTAACGCTAACGCGTAAAAATTAGGGGTCTGTTTCAAGCTGCTAGTCGGGGGGACATCAGGGTTTTCCAGCTCCGATCGGCGCCGGTCGCTTCAAGGGAAGCACCGCCCACGGAATCCTCTTCTCCCTCAGGTGACAACGAAAAACCTGACCGTTCGAGGGACAGTCGTCTTCGATCAGATATTTCGCTATGGAATAAACCTGTTAAGTTTTCCCGATCTGTTTACGCGACTGACTGGCTCGGGCGTTGTTCGTGAGAAAGGTTGGACGCCAGCGCGATGGCCGTGCTACCCGAGAGACTCTATTGGGCGTCGACAACTCAGCGATCGAAGGGGGATTGATAGTGCATTTCACAAGCTGCGTGCAGCAGAGCCGAAGCTACGTGGCATGCCAAGGTTGTTCCACCTGCACGGCGGGGGGGGGGGGGGGGGGGGGGGCGGAAATGTCGCTCCGAGGCCCCAACGCCTCTTGTCGCTTTTCCTCAGTCGGCCTCCGTAGAAGCCTCCGTGTAGCGTCCACAGTGCTGCACGCAGCTTGTGAAATGAACGATAGGTCACTGTTGTCCCGAGGTAGGGTAGCTAGCGTGTGTGCACCGCAAACAGTCCGTGCGCAGTAAAAATAAATAGGTTGGTTATGTGGTTTTGCAATTCGGGGAAAAATCGGGTTTAACCCGATTCTCCTGAAACATGTTCGGGGTGTAAAAATCGGGTAAAATCGGGTTTTACACGAAAACAAACAACCCTAAGTATAGTGGGTCATCGTTACAGGTGAAACTACAGCTTCGCTGGCCAGCCACCTTCACAGAATGGTTTGGAGCCTCAATTTGTTTTTATTATTCCACTCAATTAGACTGATATCGGTCAAATATTCACGTTCCAGGCGTAAATAGCCTGTAACTTTTTTCCTGATAAAATTCATTTTATGACTTACTGTGAACTACTTTTTTTTCGCGTGCCTCAATATTATTTTACGAATTTTTCGAAGTGCCTGTTTTGTGAATGTTACCATCATACTTTTAGGAGTTCAGCGTTCCTTTAAGCGAACGAGAAAATGTAAAACTATTGACTGACGTCAATGTCAATCCCGCCCGTGCTCCTCTTCATCACGCCTGGCTGGGCGAGAACGTCTGCCAGGAGCGTGGCTCCCTGGTCCAGGGCGCCGCCGATGAGGACCTGTTTGTCAGCGAGGAGCTCGTCCTTCCGATACGGGAAGGTCACTGGTCCCAGGAAGGGTGCCACGTCGGTCAAGAGGAGCTCCTGGGCGCTCTTGGCGTCTAGGCACTCGACGCTGTCCACAGCCATTTCTCGCTCGCAACTTGTGGCCCGCAGTAGGTTCTTCCAACTCGGAGCTCGGTACCTGCACGGGGCGACACGGCCAATGTCAGGCTCGAACTCGTTGCGGCACGAAGTTACGCGAAGTTATGCGTCACTGGAAAGGAGTAACGTCGACTACCGCAACTATACTCCATCTCACCGAAGCTCTGGAATCACTACAATATGCCGGAACAGCTAACGCCACAAAGCATGCATATACACAGCCACATACGTGGAAACAACTTTTGTACATGGGTCTTTTCTGCGTAACCTTTGTCCTGCACGCCACTGCCACATCCTAGACCTAGCGATTTTTGGTTTTCCCGCTGACGTGTCCGCGCGGGTTACGGGCAAGGGGACCTGGAATCGGTGTTGTCTAAACGCTTTGCGATTAATCGAGCAACCTACGCTTTGCACGGCTGACTTTCCAGTGCATTCTTTTTACTGTGGGAACGTGTACAAAAATCAAAGGCCGCAAGCTCGCGCTCGAGGTGGACCAGGTACGGGAGCACTGCGCGTCCGCAGAAACCAGATTCACGTGAGGTGAGGCGCCTTCGCATGCGTTGTATGGACATCAGCGCCGCCACACTGGCGTGAGGACTGAGGGAGTTGAACTGGTGTATAGTGCGGCCACTAAGAAACAAACAACAGGCTGTGCCCCCGCGTACCTTCGGCAGGGCGACTCCTCGTGCAGAATGAAGCGGCTTACGCTGGTGCGCACCAGCGGGTTTAGAGAATATACGTGGGCGCCCACGGACCAGGCGCCCCCGCCGGCGCCCATGAGGACCACATCGCTGCCGTTGCCGCCGAAGGGCCCTATGTGGTCCCGAACCCACTGCAGGGCCAGCAGCTGGTCGTCCAGGGCCAGCAGGTCCGGCGACACGTGGTGGTCGGCTCGTTCTGAGTGAGCGGGCAAGGATATGTTCTAGGCGGCATATTGTGTGTGCAGTAAAACGAAAGCGCGCGGAATATACGAACACATACAGTTTTCTGGGGCGTTTAGCGAAAACACGTTGTCATACAGAGGACCGGAGTGCTGCGATTTTCGGCATCTGCTTGCACGCAGACACTTTCTCGGGATGGTATCTCAGAAATCGCCCGACATATGCACGCAAGGAAACCTATTCAGCATTTGGCACCCTCCACGAGTATAATAATCTTTATTTTGACATGTCCACAAACAGCAAATAGCCTAAATAGGGGTACACAGTTCGTCATTGAAAACAAAATGCAGAGAGCCACATATATCCAAAATTATACACAAATTGTCGACTCCAGTGTACGTCGAAAAGTTGTCACGTCACTAAAAATGTCTATAGCAGATTGGTCAAGCCTGTTAAATTCCAGTTGCATTCTTGTTAAGGGAGACGTATCATATAAAGTCAAGGGGGTAGAACGGGCTCTGAAACCGACTAGACCGCGAGGGAACATGGAAACAAACAGTACTTAACAAAAGTGATGAATCAATACTTCCGTTCCCAACGTTATGTAAAACCATAAAATCATGTAAACGCCTTCTATCGAGCAAAGTGCGCTTAGGACAACGCATAACCATAGGAAGTTATTGATCAAATTAAAATATATTTTAAAGAATTCCGTGTTAGTCAGATGGATAGAGATGTTTTTATATGGACGGAGGCAATTCGTAGAAATTAGCGATAAGCACTCCGATATGAGTGATGTAAAATCGGGAGTCCCCCAGGGCACGGTCCTCGGACCGCTATTCTTCCTAATATTTATAAACGACATAGTTAAAAACCTTACTGTCCATGCTAGATTATTCGCCGATGACTGTATATTGCATACAACAATTAACAACAACTTAACCGAAATACATGTATTGCGTGCATTGGTGAATGGTAAAATACATGGCGAATGCCGCTAAATTAAAAAAAAAAACAAAAAAAACGTTTGAATGACAGTTACTCACAAGACTAAACCCAGTGTGTTTGTATATGAGCTAGAAGGAAACCCGATTGAAAGGGTTAGCAAATACAAAGAGCTGGGTGTGACCATTTCTCACGATCTATACGCTGGGAAACGCGCAAAGATAATGTAGTTAAAAAAAGCGAACGCCCAATCCATTGTACTTAAGACGGTCCCTAAAACTGAGCTCAGTCAACACAAAACTTTTGGAATATAAAACGCTCGTCAGGCCGGTCATGGAATATGCATGCGAAATCTGGGGACCCCCACACTAAGCAAGATGCCCTTAAATTAGAAAGAGTGCAGAGGCTCGCTTTGCGCTTTATATTTTCTAATTGTCGTCGATTAGATTCGCCAACGGCTTTGTACTCGACAGCCAAACTTTCGCTACTAAAGGCTAGGCGTAAAGAGAAAAGGTTGAAATTTCTTTACATGGTTCTTATTGATTACCTACAGATAGACAAGACAGCTTGCTTCATTCCCGATGCTTCAAAGACTGTTTTAAGTATTCCTTTTTTTTTTTTCACCGAACGATAAGCGAGTGGAACTCTCTCCCAGAACAAGCAATATCGTGTCAATCGCTCGAATCTTTTTGTTCTTATCTTGCATTTGATGACGTGGGCAGCAATCCTTGAAATGGCATGTTTATTTGGTAACTATTCCCTTTTTTTCGCGTAATGACTTCCAGCCAGCGTCATTCCTCCATTGTTGTATTGATTTTACATTTTTTCCCAGTGCCGAATGATTCTTCTGTAATATATTTTTAGGACGGGTTTGCAACGAACGCAGTTGTCAAGTTTTCGTTGTTTGCTCTTGTTTCCTTTTTTTTTTTTTTTTTTCAGACCAAGTTTTTAATGTTCTTTTCATTTTTTGTTTAATTTTTTTTCCTTCCGTGTTTATCAAGTATTTTGTTTATGCCCTCCCTATCATAGTTCCATGTAGAGACTGATAGTATTTTGAAATAAAATAAATAAAGTTGTAGTAACACCGGCGCCCGAAATGCCTGTCATAGATTATGCCTATGAAGCGTCTTTGAACACGCTCAATAGAGCATGACGCACTGTGGTTGATACAATTCCAAACAAATGAAGCAAACTCCAGCTTTGTACGCTCTAAGCAGCAAAATAAACGCACAAGAATATCAGGCTAAGAAAACAGCCTCGTAAAACGAGATATCGCCCGAAGATTCCTAAGAGAGGCATTACATATAGTTGAAACATGATTATTGAAATTTAAAGATGAATCAACAAAAATTCCAAGATCACGAATGACGGACACTCGGGAGATGACACTGCTGTCTATTGTGTAAGGTAACACAAGTGAATCTCGCTTTCTAGTCAGGGACATTATCTTTTCTTTTGCTCATGAAGCAAAAGATAGTTCATCGAACACCACCTGGAAATTGCCAACGCGTCAACCTGAAGAAGTTTGCGCTCCGAGTTCGAACAAACTCAGCGAAACAGTTTGATGCCGTCGGTAAATAGTAATACTTCAGAGTTTTTCATGCTATGAGAGATGGTCGTTCATAAAAATCAAGAGTAAAAGTGGACCAAGGTTGCTTCCTCGGGGCACTCCGGAAGACGACAAATATTTATTAGACATGAGCCCTGACACACGAACAGAATTTTCACGACATGAGAGATACCTTTTAAACCAAAAGCAGTACGTTGGACGCAAACCATAACTATCTAGTTTTACTTTTGTAAGAAGAGTATTTGGGGGGGGGGGGGGGTGATCAACCTTATCGAATGCCTTCGTCATATCAGAATATACTGCATCGACTTGTGCATGGTCACGAACAAATGGTGAAGCGTAATCTAAAAAAAGAGCATAGATTAGATTGAACCGACTTGCCCTTCATTTTTTTTTTTATAGGGGTTTATTTTTAGGCTAAAGTAACTGCAAAGAAGCTTGTGTATTACTATCTCAAAAACCTGAACTACACAGTATTAAAACGGTACGGTAGTTGTTCACAACACTAGGATCGCCTGATTTATGAATTGGAACAACTACGGCGCTTTTCCAAATAGGCGGAAATATTCCCGAACGAGGTGATAAATTAAATATGTGTAATAAGACAGGTGACAGAAGCTCAGCATACCCTTTCACAATAAAACTGGGAATATCATATGCACCACAAGACATCTTAGGTTTCATTTTAAAAATGCTTTCCTTAATTTCAAGTTCGTTAAATGGAGTAAAAGAAAGAATAACTAATGTGTGCACGTCGTGCTTTCGTCAGTGACTGCCGCAGACAAAAAACAGGATTTAAAATGCACTGCAGACTTGTTGGCAATTTTACTTGGATTACATGTGTAACCAGAATTATCTCTGATTGAGACCACATTATGATTTCGCTTCTTTTTTAATGGTACATACTTCCAAAAGAGTTCTGGCTTCGTGTGCATATCGGTCCCAAGTACAGCCGTATGCGTTCTTTCGTCTTGTTTAAAGAGCTGTTTTGCCAAAGCACGACACTCACTGAATTTGGCGTACCACTTATGCAGTCCAGATGTTTTAAAAAGACGATGATAATAAAGCTTACGTCGTAAGCAACGCCTGAGCTCCCTTGAAAACCATGACAAGTAGTTGTTTGCCCGAGAAAAATGCTTAGGCACGTATTTACCTATGGCGCTCGAAACTACAGTTGTAAGAGCCTCAGCAGCCGAATCCGCGCAATTATCAATCAGGATCGGTTGCCAATCATAGCACTTTAAGTTTTTGTACATTTAAAGGTAATCTCCATTGCTCTACAAAAAAATATTCCTGACTGCAAGAGACCCGTTGACGAAGCGGAAAGAAAAAGGACAAAGGGTGGATGGAAATGACCAACACCTGTTAAGGGGTGAACAATTAGCAAGTTACAAACAATTGGCGAGGAAACTAAAACAAGGTTAAGTATATTTCCGGCTGAATTCTGGATAATATTGCTTTGTACAGATCTATTAAAATCAATAAAATCTAACAGGCTCGATACTTTCAGGCTGGTGACCTTGCTTGCCAACGAGTCAAACAGTCAACCAGTCAATTTCTGGTAGATTAAAATCCCCATATATCTGAACACTGAACTTCGTTATATAAAGCTGTTGTTCTAGATTTTGAAAGTGACATGCAAAAACCTGTGATTCAGAGTGCTTGCAATGCACAAAGTAGGCTGCTTGGAATTTTCTCTTTTGAGAGCAGCTTTTCGTATCGCAAATGGTTTACCGCTCCTTCGTGATGTGCGGTGCTGACGAAGGAATTGTCACTCGAGGAACAGCGAAGGTAAGACGTAAAGGGTGCGAAGTAACTGGTTATCGATTGTCTTCGTGTAACATCTCAGTGCTGACGACGAGAAGACTGAGTGACTGCTTTCGAAGCGCCATTTTCTTGGGGGAAGCCGGCTTCGGAAATAAATGCAGTTCGCGGAACGCTTGTTTTACGCTTTTATTTGCTCCTCCTATTTCCCAGTACAAAGAACGTAGCGTCCTCGTTAAGCCTGGTTCAATCGATTTGCTTGATTCGGGGATGCCATAAAAAGACGTAGACGACAGAAGAACTTTGCTCCCCTGCTTTCAGGGACAAAAGTTCCTCCCTTTCTGAATAAACATAGGTTACAAGAGCGTTTCTCCCTTTAGAGAGAACTATATAAACCCTTTTTCTAAGAGAGTAGCCATAACGAGTTGTGTGACGTGCTGAGACAGAAAGGTGTTGGCGCGGCCCACAGGCCGCGCAGAGCAGTACTCGATTTCTGAGCCCCGAGTAACTGCAGCTGAACCCGCCCTGCAGATAAAAAGGTGTTGCTTTCGGTGCCAGGCCTGGATCGTCCTTCTTTCGGGTGAGCTCGATGCACCGGTCTATAAAGGCGTCAGCGCGACGTGTGACTCGGTAGCGCACTATTTGCGCATCGCGGAGGAGGAAAACCGGCTGGCGGGGATGCGGGAGTAGTTCCTGGCGCAGTCTTAAACTTGACTTTGACAACAGAGCTTTTATTC